GCTGCCTCCTGCACGCCCCCTACTGGGGATTGAGCCCGAAAGCCAGGCATGTGCCCTGACCGGAAACCAAACCATGACCTCCTGGTTCATAGGTCGATGCTCAACCACTGAGCCACACCGGCCGGGCTAATTCACCCTCTTTACTTGCTTAGTGAGACGCTCCCTGAGAGGGAAGGGCGTTCCCAGCTCCTCTGGGGTCGAACTGTCTAAAGCTAAGTTTTATGTGAAAAGAGCTCACTTTTTCCCAGAGGCGACTGCAAAGATCAGAGACCAAATGGGTTGGATTTACAGCAAGCTCTTCCAGGCAGGAGAGGGGGGAGGGAAGAAGCCTTTTGGAGAGGGTCTTTCTGGAAGACTCTGGCTACCTGAAGAGGCTCTGGGCTGCTGACAGGCCCAGGCGCTGAGCCTCGGCCCCCTGGGGTTTGGGGAAAGTGCTGCAACCTTGTGAGGCGCCAGCAGGTCATCCGCACATGGGGCTGGGGCTGCCACGCTGGAAGCGCTCGGGCCGCGCTGGCCCGGGGCCTCGCCACCCAGGCTGTTTTGACTGGACATCGTGGAGGTCTGAGGGCCCCGGCGTCAGGGCACTTCCTTCTCAAGAGCCGAGTGTCTGGGATGCGGCGCGGCCTGCCAGTTCCCACGCACGCCTCCAGGCGTGACGCAGCCTGCTGGCCGGGCCTGCTCTCCCGGGTGCTGGGTTGGACAATGCCTGGAACCGTCTGTCCTCTGGAAGCACTCGGGCACTGTGTGGGACCAGGAAAATCTGCAAATAAATCTCCCGTTTTCCTCGGGGAAGTTTACCCACCCTGAAAGTGATAGATCCTCCCTTCCCCCAACTGGTGGGCGGGGTATGACGTAACCTGCAGCCCAGAAATGCCTGAGTGACTAACCAGGTACCTTATATGGACTATACATTGGACCACCAATCCACACCTGCCAAATACCCTAAGCCCTTGTCCTATATGGACAATGCAGTAAGCCACCAATCAGTGTGCGCTGAGTGTACTAAGGCCCCACCCCTTCCCATTCCGCCCCTCAAAAGGCGTGCCCACCCCTGCACGTGTTGCTGTTCTCCCTGGCAGGTGCTTCTCCTCTAATTAAGCCTGTAGTCCTGGTTTTAGGCCTCCGTCTGATCTTTCATTTTGGTGCCGAAGACCCGGGAGAGGTGAACGGGAGCGTGGACGATCCTCGAACCTAGGCCCGAACTTCTGATTCCTGCTCTGGCTCTGCTCGGTGGAACGGTTCTGAGTTGATTGGCCCGCTCCGGACACCTCTCGAACCCTGCCGCACCAGGACACGTGGGGATCTCGTCGCTTCCCTTCCACAGGTAGGCTTCAGGGACTTTCCCAACCCCCCCCCTACTTCTAAGCCCCCCACCCCTTCCCATTCTGCCCCTCAAAAGGCGTGCCCACCCCTGCACGTGCTGCTGTCCTCCCCTTGCGAGACAGCCCGGCAGGTGCTTCTCCTCTAATAAAGCCTGTAGTCCTGGTTTTAGGCCTCTGTCTGATTTTTCAGAAAGCATCAGAGCAGCCCAGGACCCCGAGGGGCCTCCCGAGGCCAATTAGTCCAGCTCCTTCTCTTTCCATTCTCCTGCGCCTCTCCCCAGTAATGAGGATGGCCTTTCACAGTGGGCCAAGCCGACAAAGTGCTGCCACAGACGTTACATTTTCCCGCACATGCAGCGCTGAGTCTGTGCGGAAGCCCTGGTGACTCCTCCTCACAGGCATGGCCCCCAGACCTGTGGGCCATCCTTCCTGCCACCCTCTCTCTCCAGCACTTCCGTTGAGTCTAGAACTTGCTTTACCGGTTTTCAGTGCACTCTGCAGACACCTCATTCCTGTGCTCCTCTAAGAGGATTGCACCCAGAGAATTAGGAATCTCCCGACCCTTCTCTCTGGAAGTTCTTCCCTGCTTTGCAGACACCTGCCTGTAGGACAGTGGAGTCTGAGGAGCAAGGGGAGTGCTTTTCCCTGGGACCCAACACCCTTTTGTTCTGAGTGTCTTTTGTCCCACGCCCTCAATCAAGTCAATGAGCAACACATGCAAGAGAAAAACCCAGCCGCGTCCTCACGCTAGCCCACTCCCGGCTAAAGGAGGTGCCATTGTAAGACGCCTACTGTACGCCCGGCGATCTTAAAGAGTAGATATGCTTAATGCCATTTTGCACTTGAGAAAATGGAGGCTTGGAGGCTAGGCAGCTTGCCAGGGTCACAACTTGTAAATAGCAAGACAGATTCAACTCCAGTCTGACTGCAAATTCCACTCTTCCCACTATACCACAGGGCCTCTTAAAAGAGGTCCAATCGGTGACTCACTTCGTCTGGATGCTCTTCCGACTCCTTTCTCGTCCTCTGCCAAACTGAAGCAGTGTGGGGGAGTGCAGAGGTCACAGGTCCCGCGAGAGGAGCCTGGTCCCTTCCCAAGTTGGAACAAGTCATTCTGCGGCTTATTCGTGTATAACATGAAGAAAAGGGACGGCCATTCAGACAAGAAGAGATGATATATCGGCAATGCCCTCTGAGAGCTAGAAAGCGCTGTGCGTGGTTATAACCTACACACATCACTTCTTCCTGGATCTGAAGGAACAGCTTAACCTGTGGGAATCCTTTTCTGATGGACACAAACCCATTGAGTCACGCGCTTCATTTGAATGCCTTGAGCATTAGCAATGACTTTTCAGAGAAAGTCGGCGTTGGCTTCGTGTCCTCAAGTGGATTGTTCACGAGGCAGGGATTACAGTTCCTGTTCCTTTTCTATCCTCTGATCTTGCCCAAGGCAGAGCTCTTCATTTAACAAGAGCTCAGGAAGTCCAGGGCGAGGGACTGACTCAAAATGAGAATTTGCTGGGAAAGTCTCGTCTAGTAAATCCAGAAAGTGCAAATTAGGTCGGGAGGGAGCTATGTCTCTCAATGGATTAGCGAGGCATAGTGGGGCCCGGGGGCCTGGCAGGGTCCTCAAATCCCAATGCTTAGACATTTGAGAGGGCGGGCGTTGTTGGTTCTTTCTGTGTTAGGGGTGGCAGGGCGCACTGTAAAAATGACCAAACTAGCAGTCAAAACTTCTGGGCTGCAGCTTTGCAAGGCATCTAACTTCCTTAAATCAGTTTTTAAATGTGACGGTGCTAAACTAGATTGTTGTGAGAGCTCAAAAGTGTGATGATATCACAAACAAGAGGCTAATTTTCTTAACGTACAAACCACTTCTTACACATCAACTAAAAAAAAAGCCCATAACCCAACAGAGAGGGTGAAGGCCACAAGCAGACACTTGACAGAAAAGAAAATATGTGAAACTTTTGAACAGAAAGGGCAATGCAAGTTGAAACTACAAACATATGCAGTGTTTTCCACAGTCAGATTGAAAGTAATCAGAGTCCCATAACACGCGGTGCAGCTAGGAGCACGAGGAAGCCAGCACTCTTCAACAGAGCGGGTCCTCTCGGGAGGACAATTTGGGGATTTCTATTAAAATGAAATGTCCACGTATCCTTTGCCCTGCAGGTTCACTCCTAGGTGCTTCTCCTCCAGGGACTCAGACAGGAGAAACCACCTGTGTAAAGCATTCACTGTTCAAATCCTGGCCCTGTCACTAATGTGACGCTGGGCCTTAACTCTTTGTGCCTCAATTTCCTCATCTGTAGAGTGGGGAGAATAAAAGGTCAAGCCTCACACGATTGTTGGGAGAATCAAGTGTGTTCATGTATTAGAACAGTGGTTCTCAACCTTCTGGCCCTTTAAATACAGTTCCTCATGTTGTGACCCAACCATAAAATTATTTTCATTGCTACTTCATAACTGTAATGTTGCTACTGTGATGAATCGTCATGTAAATATCTGATATGCAGGATGGTCTTAGGTGACCCCTGTGAAAGGGTCGTTCGACCGCCAAAGGGATCGCGACCCACAGGTTGAGAACCGCTGTATTAGAAGGCTGCCTGGCATGCGGTCAGGGATTGTAAATACTGGCTGTGATTATTTACTTCACCACCCTCGTTCAGCCTTCCGCTGCTTACTGATTCTTTCTCTTTCTTTTTATTGAATTTATTGAGGTGACATTGGCTAATAAAATAGTTTCCACCCAGCCAGTTTGGCTCAGTGGTTGAGTGTCGACCTATGAACCAGGAGGTCATGGTTCAATTCCCGGTCAGGGCACATGCCCAAGTTGCAGGCTCGATCCCCAGTGTGGGGCATGCAGGAGGCAGCCAACCAAGGATTCTCTCTCATCATTGATGTTTCTATCTCTCTCTCCCCCTCCCTCTCTCTCTGAAATCCATAAAAATGTATTTTTTTAAAAAGTTTCTGGTGTACAATTTTATAACACATCATCTGTATATTGTATTGTGTGTTCCCCACCACAAGTCGTCTCCTTCCATCTCTATGTATCCCCCCCCCAATTCGCTCCCCTACTTCCCCACCCCTCCGTCCCTCTGGCAATCACCATACTATTATCTGTGTCTACTGAATTTTTGGGTGTTTTCTTTCTTTCTTTTTTTTGCTTAATCCCTTCACCTTTTTCACCCAGCCCCACAACCCCTCTTCCCTCTGACAGCTGTCAGTCTCTTCTCATCTATGAGTCTATTTCTATTTTGTTTGGTAATCTATTTTGTTCATTGGATTCCACATATGTGTGAAATCAGCTAGCCTTCCATTGGCTATTCAGGATGATCTATAACTTCGTTGTAGTTCTAGTTTGGTCACACCTCACTAGAACCATGACCAAATAAGGACTTCCTGTGTAGAGGGATGGCCATGTAGTCTCTCTGGAAGAGCCTCCAATTCTATTAAAGCTCTAGTCTCCTTAAAGGCTCAACTGCAACTGTCACACTACTGGACCCAAGTGTTTATTTGGGAGGGAAGCAAGTGTTAAAGTTTTAAGACAAGAAAGTACAGTATTGTCTTGCTGTCCGTAGGTCACCTAGAAGGAAGGTCAGGACTAAGAATTCTCTGCTGGAATGTGTTTGTTTTCAATACTTCACAGCAAATTGAGGTCCTTCAAGTGAAATATAATTTGGTACAAGAGGTGGCCAAATCTCCTGGCCTTTATTGCTGAACACGATGTCCTGGTCTACTCCAACTCATTCAATGACATATCTGTTGGAGGAGCTTGACATTTTCATCGCTTCTTTTTTTCTCTCTTCAGGTTGGTTGCCAACTGTTGCTAACAACGCAACAGGATGTAATCTCCAACCCAAACTCACAGGACTTTGTGAACCTCTTCTGTTGCATTGTGTTCTTTTCAGGAATTTGTCTTGGCTAAGCCCTTGCATGTATTATGTTAGATGTGGGCGGCAGAGGCCAATCCTAAAAGATGTAATTCTGGTAAATCCTTACAATAGCCACAGTCCAGGGCTTGGCCATCTTGATTTATAAAGGACATGATGATGATGATACTTTATAAATTGGATATGGTGCTTTGTAGTTTACAATTTACCCTCAGCTACATTGTGAGCTAATAAAGTATAATTATAAGGAGAGAGTGAAGCCTAGAGAAGAAGGCCAGGTAGGTAAGGAACCTGAGAAGCTGGGGTTCAAACCCAGGTCTTCTAACTTTAGAGCTTGTGTTCTTTCTGTAACTCTACCAAGTTACACGCTTTCAACAAGGAAGACAAGAAGAAAAAGAAGAAAATGAATCTTTAATCCTTAGCACACAGTGCACTGCTAAGCCTTTCATTCTAAACTAGGCCAGGCACTCTCTCACTTGCCAAAGAATGCATTTTTGGTAAAAAATATATTCATCCTTTATATCTTTATAAATATCTCACTCAACACCAAAAGTCATTTAGAGACTTAGGTATTTAAACCAGGGCAAGACATTGATTTTCCTGCCTTCTCTTCTCCCTACTCCCCACCCCCAGTTGTAATGCAGCTGCATGCCTACTTATTTTTCACAGTACGCTATAAAGTCAATAAAGTCAAGAAAAACAAAGATGGGTGTAAAACAGTATAATCCTGCCCTTGACTCCAACAACAAGGAGGCTGTTTTGGCTATTTATGTAGCCAAAGAGTGCGTATTTGTAGTGTCGTAGTAACTATAAAGGGCAGGGCTTCCAATGAATGTGACAGTCTAAGGTGATACTAAGCCCAACCAGTGGAAAAAAAACACAAACCTGCCCTGGCTGGTTTGGCCCATCGGCCTGCAGACTGAAGGGTCCTGGGTTCAATTCCGGTCAAGGGCATGTACCTTGGTTTCGGGCTGCATCCCTGGTGGGGGGTGTGCAAGAGGCGGGCGGTCGATGATTCTCTCTCATCATTGATGTTTCAATTTCTCACTCCCTCTCCATTTCTCTCTGAAATCAATAAAAAATAAATAAAAAACCCACACATACTAGTATTTAGGGTGTTATGCTCAGCACTGTGGCTACTGTGTTCGAAACTGGTGCTGCATCGTTTGCCCCGCTGGAGTGTACAGGCTAGGTGGGATGTTGTCTTTCACCAAATCCCACATGGAAGGTTAATAAAACTCCTTTCGTACCTACAGGAATGAGAGAGAAAAATATTTTGTAGCAGGTGGCCTATTTGCAGAATTGATGAAGATCGGCTGATCTGATTACTTCCAGGATTTCCCACATAGGAAACAGAGAGAAATGGCTGCCGTCACAGAAGTACAGCTGCTCAACATTCTACACTTGGAAGCCTGAACTTGAGCAACTGCTCACAGTGACAAATAACTCTCTGAAATTAGCTGCGGGGAGGTCACCCGTCTGTCGCAGACCACAGGGGTCCCCCAGAAACCCAAGTCACACAGCAGATGGATGATACAGGCCAGCGTGATGAGAAGGGACCTGGATGAAAACAAGCTGCCATAAGTCACGATTAGCCTCCTGATGATGACATTCTGCTGGGAGGGGTCCACAAGGACTGAATCGTCATAAATCCAAGTGGGGAGTTGTTGGCTCCCCTGCTGAGAATGGACGTGTGGTCCCAAAACAAGGTCAAAGGGCAGAGGCTAGTATTTAAAGAGACTGCAGAATGCAACAGAGGAAGTTCTGGGCAAGGAAGATTCTCAGAATCATATGGAAAGTAGTGAAATATACAGCAAGAGAGTCCAGAATCCTGGCCTAGCCCTGTTTAAGTAGAAAGTGTATACATATAATCTCACCATATATAAGTATGTGTATGTATATGTGTGTGTATACATATATATATATAACCATATATGTATGTAATATATAGTTGGTTTATTAACATAAAGCTCATGGTTAATAACCACAAATCATGCCAGAATGAAGATTAGCTAACATTTTTCTCCATATATATATATATATATATATATAATCACCATATATATGGGAGTGTGTATAGCAATTATTTAAAAGTTTGCTACATGGCAGGTTCTGTTCAAGGAGACATTGGGACCACTGACCTGAACAAAACAGAAAAATCCATGCTCTTATTCATATACACTGTATATACAGGAATGGAATTTTATGGTAATAAACAGGTGTCATTTTTAAACTGGTATGGCATGGGCACTGACCAATCCGAAGAGAAGTTGGCCATAATCTTGGAGTAGGGTCCTGGAAGGGCAAGAGTTGTTAACTCTTTAGCTACTGGATTGTGGGGAACTCCAGGGAATTTCGGGGGGGGGGGTAACAAACGCATTTGGGGGGCTCAGCATAGCAGCTATTTAGCAACTCATATGGAAGGTGGAAGTACTTTTAAAACTGATGTGGCTGAGGAGAAGCCCCAGTAATCGTACATGGAGAAAAACTACATGACATGACATGACCAAAATGTGAATAGCGGCTTGTCCCAGAAACAATGAGAGAAAATACTCAGGTTTTAGAGTGGGACTTTTTTTGTGGGGAGAGGGGAGGATGCAGTGAAAGAAAAGGGGGAGGGAGTAGTAGGCAAAGGCGGTACCTTGATGCTTTCTAAATCTCCATAAACAGCAGGTTTTGTTTCAAGGGCATTCTGTGAAAACAGAAATACCCTCCACCTCACTGTTTACCTGGGCGAGTCACGAGTCACGATCTCGAGGTCCTGATGTAAATGATAAGGCATGTAAGCAGGTGCTTTAGAGGAGAAAAGACAAAATCAGTAACATCTGAATTTCTCCTCTGACTATTAATAAGGCCCTCTCACTGACTTAACAGGAGGCGAGAGGAGGAAAAAGAAAGTGACAAGCAGCAAAGGCAGCGGGCCTGCCGGGAGACACACCTGGCCGGGTTGGTTGGCTTGGGGCGGTGAAGAGTGGGTACTTGGCTCGCGGCCGTGGTCATCTAATTGGCTGCGGCGTCTCACTTTTCATGCCGAAGCAACTTGGATCCCATAAAGGTCATTTTTAAGTAGTCATTTTTGAGGAAGTGACTTATAAGGCAACCAAGAGTTTTAAACAAATGCCCAGGAGCGACGAGCAGGGCTTTGTTTAATGTCCTTTACATCATGGTTTCAAAAAAAGGAAAGAATCCCGTTTCTGAGCTCACAAAAAGAATTCTGGTACGATGGGAGTACGTGCACAGCATCTTCTTTCAATGCCTGTCAAACACTCACTGCACATGTTTCCAGTCCCTGCGTATGGCTGATCACCTCTGCTGCTGATTACAGAACTCTGGTCCTCCCTCGGAACTTGGCTGAGAAAGTGCAACTTAAGAAATAAGTGATAAATACATTTTAAAAAAAACACCACCAACAAGCCCTTCTTTAGAGGACATGAGAGGGAATGTCCAAGTCAAGCAGCTGTGCAAACAGTTAAACCAGAGCTCTCGCAAGGGTGGCGAGGTCATTCTGAAGCCACCTACAGCCTGTGTTGTCTGCTATGAGCCCAAAGCGCCTTCACCTGCCTGGGCCGGGCCTCCATTTCTTCATCTGCAAAGTGATAGGCTTGAGCGGTTCTCAACTGTTTGAGAACAAATGCCTCCTTTCATAATAAATTTTAATACCTACTTTACTATTAGAAATACAATGCATAGATAACATAACCCACCTAAAAACAATGCTTAAAAAAAATCAGTGTCGCCAAACCGGTTTGGCTCAGTGGATAGAGTGTTGGCCTGCAGACTGAAAAGTCCCAGGTTCAATTTCGGTCAAGGGCATGTACCTTGGTTGCGGGCACATGCCCAGTAGGAGGTGTGCAGGAGGCAGCTGATCGATGTTTCTCTCTCATCGATGTTTCTAACTCTCGATCCCTCTCCCTTCGTCTCTGTAAAAAAAAATCAATAAAATCTATTTTTTTTTAAAATCAGTGTTATGTATAATAAGCATTTTCAAGTACATCTAAACTAGAAGACATAACAAATAGTCAAAATGCTTTACATAGCTACTTATAAAGAATAAATTCGGATTTTAAAGAAGCAAAAAACCTGAGGGCATTTCACCCAAGTAGTAAAGGAAAAGTTATAATAAACTTGTCTTTTTAAAAAATATACTGTATACATATTTTTATTGATTTCAGAGAGAAAGGGAGAGGGAGAGATAGAAACATCAATGATGAGAATCATTGATTGGCTGCCTCCTGCACACCCCACACTGGGGATCAAGCCTGTAGCTGGGCATGTGCCCTGACCAGGAATCGAACCAGGACCTCCCGGTTCATAGGTTGGTGCTCAACTGCTGAGTCATATCAGCCAGGCAAACCAGTCTTATTTGTATTTAATGAAAGAGGAAAATAACTTGAACTGAAGTAGGCTCCTAACCTACATCAAATAACAAATGCTGAAATGGGGGAAATCAGGTAGCCCTGGGCCTCGTCTGCAAATGCAAAGCCAGAACCGTTGTCCTCTGCTGTGACGGATGAGGCTCTGACTAATCACGTGTCTTTTACCTTCAGAACCCACAGGTGTGGGATGAAGAGGCATGCAGTCATTAAACTCCAAAACCTTGCAGATGGGGAAAGAGGCTGGATTGGGGAAAGAATCAATAATTTCTGCAGCATAGATTATTACCATGTTTAGAGGGCAATAGTTTTAAAACAGAATTCAATGTTGGCCTCATTTCTGGTGTCTCCACTACTTTAATAATCTATGCAAATACAGTATAGTGAGTAAGGAAAGGACTTGAATTGGATACACGCTATCCTTTCTAAAAAAGTAACTGACTTCCTCTTACAACCCTCTCCTGGTATTTTTCCCCCCATCACCCAATGAGAGAAAACAGCAAAATAATAATAATAATAATAATAATAATAATAATAATGTATGTTTGTTCATTTTTCAGAACTCCAGAATTTATTTAGAAAACTAGGAAAAGATAGAAGACTTACTAACATTTATTTTAAAGAACAGTTAAAGCAAGTCTTTCAAATAGGTTTCACAAATTTAAGATGCTTGCGTACTATTTCTCAGAACTATCAGGGAACATCAGGATAATACTGGTTGGGGGAAAATTCTTTTCCTGCAAAAACTGTCTCACGATTCAGGCTGAATCCCATGCTATCATTAGTTACAGATCATAGATGTGCAAGATAATAGACACGTTGGCCTCATGGCCCCACCATCCCTTTACTAGACCGCACGCAACCTAGCATGACAACTTGTAAATAAAGTTTATATTTATTTAGTGTCAATTTGGTTATTAACACATTCACACGATTGTTAAAAGGAACCTTAGCCATTTCCCCTCCACAGAAACATTAATTTTATAACAAATGTTGTGAAAATATTATTTAAGATTAAAAACTTATAAGCAACTGATATTGATGGTCTTTATTAAATAATTTTTCATAAGAGCATGAGCTTTGGAGTCAGACTTGAAGTTGAATCTTGATTTTACTACTCAATATATAAAATAATATAAAGACCTTAGCAAAAGGTTATTTTTTCTAATAAAAGTGATGGTAGCTAGCATTTATAAACACTATGCATAGAAAAACAACAACAACAAAAAAACAACACTATGCAAGCTTCATGAACATTATTGCATTCATCTCTTAATTATTCAAGGAGAATTATTATCCCTATTTAATATGAAAACTGAGGCTCAGAAAAGGTTGAGAAGCATGCCCAAGGTCTGAACCCAGATATGTGAGAAGCCACAGCACCGATGCTACTAACCACCATTAAAAATTCTGTGGGGATATTCTGGGTACCTACCTGAAAATTTGAAAACATTTATTCGTAAAGATACATGTTACCCCATGTTTATTGCAGCATTATTCACAGTGGCCAAGACATGGAAACAACTGACATGTCCTTTGACAGACGACTGGGTAAAGGAGATGTGGTACATATGTACCATGGAATACTACTCTCCATAGAAAAGATGAAATACTGCCATTTGGGACAACATGGATAGATCTTGAGAATATCATGCTAAGCGATATAAGTCAGACAAAAAAATGTCAAGAACCACATGATTTCATTCATAGGTGGGATATAAAACCACATGATTTCACTCATATGAGGAAAGCATCAAATGAACAAATGAGAAAAACAAACAAAAACTCACAGACAGTATGGTGGTCACCAGGAGGAAAGGGTCAAGGGGGTCAAATATACGGTGATGGGAGGAGATTTGACCTTGGGTGATAAGCACACAGCACACAATGCAATATACATAAATGTATTACATATCGGACACTTGAAACCTATATAATTTTATTAGCCAATATCACCCCAATAAATTTAATTTAAAAAAATTAAAAAGTTCTTGTGGGGAGATAGGAGGAGGAAGGGACAAAAGGCGGGAAGAAAGTGTGTGTGTGTGTGTGTGTGTGTGTATGGTTAGGCCTACTAGGCCATCCTTATAATTTCTGAGTTTTTTATTTTTTTATATGACCTAGATTACAGATAGAACCCTCCTTTATTCTTCATGGGCTCAGGCAATTGCAAACCAAGAATCAGTCATATGCCATGAGGTACTAGTACATACCAAAATTGTCAGTACAGCTAAAAACTCTCCTGCATGTTAATTATAATGACCGTAACTTAAGGGAACCACAATCAGAAACTTCCTGGCTAATCCCAATTTTAGAGGTTTTTATGCTGTAGTCTTTTTGGTCCTTAATACAATCAATCCACTGCACCTAGAACCATACAATTCTTCTTTCTAATACTTCAAATTCTAATAATTTCTGTTTATATAGTAGGCAATGTAAACTCTATATACATACATACACAATGTACCAAGGGAAACACAAAAAGTGGTTTTTAGCCTATATTGAAGCTACACTTTATCGCTTTCCTGTTAACTGTTGCAAAGAAAAGTTTAAACCATTAGGTACAGTTTGAATTCATTAAACAATATCTGAACAAATAGAAAACAAATAGAAATAGGCTAACCATTTTTTCCTACTTAAGTGATTACACTCATCCATCTCTACAAATAGGAGATATTTTAATCCTTTTAGATTTCAGGTATTTGATAAAAAAATCTACATCCATTTTTCTTATCAAAAATATTCTGAAAATCCTCTGTTGATCACTCTCAAACTACTGGAGATGGACTCCTTAAAAAAAAATAACAAATAAATAAATAGAGCACCAGCCAACGAACTAAGATATACATTAAAGCAAAATCTTTAAAATATGAACCACTTTGGCCTCTAGACACTAAGAGTCTAATAAAAACTGAGCTTTTTTCAAGGTTATTTTTGCTGTCAAGAAACTTAGATATAGATGAGTTCAGAAGAATCCAAACATATGCTGAAGCAAGAAACATACTTGTCTTAAAAATCATATTCTGCCTTGCATGAATTAATGAATGGATTAACTTAACGTCTTGTAAGTGAAGCATTTGGCATGACCAAGGTTTAACTGAATTAAGGACGGGGTGGTGCTTTGAATTAACATCAGATGCTAGTGGTCATCCCCACCCAGTCACCCTTTCATCCTCAAGTCCATCCTTGAACATGGCGTGTGTTGTCCAGGCATCCACTGCTCCACAGAGGCAGATAGACACTGAGCATTACTTAATCGTTTCAATATCGAGGTCACTGTGTTCCACTCCTAGGACCTCAGTACACCGAGAAACAACTTCATTACATAACACTTCAGGCAGCAGAACAACACAAACTTGGTCCCACACCACATTTAGTTTCATTGAGAAGAGCAGCCCTTAGCTTTCGTCTCCATTTAATTATGAAACGTGGTTGACATGTACGTAGTCCTACACTACCTTTCTCCCCTAGGACATCAATTGAACTAGAATCTCAGTATATGGAGACTCCTGCTTGTGTCACTGGTATACTCACCACAAAGGGACATCCTTTCAAAATGATTGCCTATAAGAAACTGTCCGTGTAAATGTGTTTCCATTCAAATGGCGAAGTAGCTTGCAGCCTGTTATCTACAGAGGAAATGATTCGGGCCAGGTGCCAATGTGAAGGAGCCAAGTCCAGCTTTAACCAAGAAAAGCTGGCATATTTTTATAACTGCCTCCAGGGAAAAGATGCCTCAAAAATGACCTAACAATTGCCTGGAGCAGATGAAGTTAATTTTTCAGATTCTCAAGGCTCAAGGCTCACGGGGTTAAGGGATCACTATTCGAGAGGAAGCTTAACACCAGACTTCTGACTGGCTCACTGGACCCGATGACCTAAGTCATCAGGAAGTCCTTAACAAACAAGCAATACATAAGGAACAAGTGGTTTTGATTTCCCACAGAAAGCAAATGTGTCCACTACACGCAGGAGACAGGCGCGCGTATCTTAGAAATGTAAAGTCCCGTCTCATTTATATGGGAAAACAGGGGATGCAGTTAACACAACCAAAGGGGACTTCTCTATCACAAACAACGAGAAGTTGTTTTACTTCCACTGAAGAATTAATTTGGGCAAAGGGAACAGACCCTTGGGAGCACCGATCCTGGGCACTTTAGACCAGAAGATGTCTACACTTGCTTCTCCAAAATGCCAATGGACATGCCGGGGTGAAGGACATGGAGGGGACGAGGACACCCAGATGGAAATGATAATGGTGTGACCTTAATTGAAGAAGAAATGCTTAAAATGGCTAGCAGATGCCTCTCATTAAAGTGCAGCGCTGGGGGAGGAGGCCAGAAGAAATCTGGACGAAGAGGAAGGAGGTCCTCAGGGTTGGGATTTTGCTCCAACAGCTCTTGTCCCAAAAGAAAAGAAAGTCACTCTAAAGATGCCAAGGACAAGGGGAAGGGCTTGTAGCACTCCCTCAAGCATATTTATTATCACTGAAAAAGTAACTGAAGACACCCTACCCCCAAAACTCGCCTAGCATTCTTCATCCAAAGACATCAAAAGCCCTTTCTAAATGCTGCCCTCATGACACCTCTGTGAGGTAGGGAGCATAATTCTACTTTTACCCATAAGCAAGCTAAGGCACAGGGAGAGCCTGAGTGACAAATGTGGTTTGGAATTTCGTTCCATGCACACACTCCCTCCACACTGATGTGGGCAACTAGGAAGGGTCCTTACAGGGGGCAGTTCTAAGAGCCAAACAGGGTCGTGCATGACTCTGGGAAGACCGCACATCTCCAAAGGCTCCCTGATGGAGTCCAGGAGATGCCCTCCACTTCAGGGTTCCAATATGCACGGTCCCCTTGAATAAGGAGACAAAATCACCCATGATTATAGGAAAAAGGCTGAAGATACCTACCATCTTCCTGTTTCCCCCACCGCTGAGACCAGAACAATCTTAACAAACCACATGCTCCAAGGAACTTTAGTTCTTAAACCTTCGTCTTAACTGGTGCAATAAAATTCTAAGACCTATATTTAGCTCATGATGTTGACATTTCTGATCAGTTCATTTCCAAATCCTTGGTCCTAGACAATTCTCTTTTATCATAACCACCTTATCTGTATAAAATGTGATGCCAGGATCTGCAGCAAATAATGCATCCGGTCAGCATACATTGGTTCTATATATTTTGAGACAGGCTCAAGTACACAAAGGAAGCGTGCAATGTTAAAGAGAGGGTATGAGTGACATGGGTGGCTTGTCTAACGGAGAATCCAGGGTCCTTTCAGGAAACTGAAGATACTCAAAAGTTGCTCCCCAGTTGCTATGAACAACCCTCTACAAATGAACATTTTCATTTGATACAAATATACAAAGTTAAAATAAGTGTGCAATTCAGAATGGCCTACCATTTTCAGATTGCTTATGTGCCAGAAAATATACAGTCAATAAAAAAATACCAGAGAGGTGGGCACAAAAGGCTCTCTGGATCTGTACAGCAAAAATGAGTATCACTTCAGCAGGTAGTGATCCGTGGAGAGGGTGGTGTCCTTGGAAACCAGGGCCGGGAGAGGGCAGGTCACAAGTCTGGGGATGGGGGATACGACGTATAGTAAGGCCCATTTTCCTGTGGGAAGAAAAAAAGACAAGAACCCTACGTCACAAGATCACTTTAACTGGGAACATAAAAGAAAGGGATTTAGAGTCAATGACTTAATACATATAAAATGTCTAGCACAAGCCATCAGAGCAGTTCCCCGGTAATCAGAGTTGGTGCACAATAGGTAGAGGTGATCAGGATGATGGATGATGATTTTTTTTAATAACATTACCACTTACTGAATATTCTATATGCTAGAAACTTTATCAGCATTTTTCTGAATCCCTTATCTCTCACATCCTCACATAATGCTATGAAGTAGGTGACACCCTCATCTTACAGAGAGGAACCTGAGGCTCACACAGGCCACCTAGCTAGTCACCAGAAGAGCCCGCATTTGAATCCATGGCTAATGGAATATAGCGCCCAGATTCTTTGTTGTCAGACTGCGTGATCTTACTGTGTGCTGAATCTTAATATAGAGTCACAAGACAAAAGGAACGATTGCTGAAGAATTTAATAACCATAACTTTCTTGGCAGAAACGAGTCTTCTCCATAACACGCCTGAGCGTCCAGGCTTGTACCGATTACAGGTCTCAGGGCGCTTAGTTCAAGATCAAAATAGAGAATTAAATGCCAGAGCTTTAATGTCAAATGTAGAAAGCACCGCATCCCTGTCAGGGGAATTTCTTGACCTCATTTTGGCTAACTTTATCTTAATAAAAATCAAAGCAGTTAACTTTATAGGAGATGGACTCTAGATTCCATTTATAAGATTGGAGATTGATTTCTCATTTTTAAGGAAAGCATTTCTTTGACAAACAACGTATTTTTCAGGAAACCTTAAACAGAAAATGTATAGCATTAATGTAAGAGAGCAGTTGGAAATGGAGAGTGAGGGGCAGGATGAAAATGGCACTGCTCTATGGTATATTTACATGACAGCTGGTGAGGAGCATTAAGTCCACCCAGTCTTTTTTAAATATAAATATACATATACATATATTTTTATATATCATTGATCGGCTGCCTCCTGCACACCCCACACTGGGGATCGCGCCTACCATCCCAGCATGTGTGCCCTGACCAGGAATCAAAAGTTGACTCCTAGTTCATAGTTTGATGCTCAACCACTAAGCCACGCTGGCCGCATCAACCATAAGATTTTATTAGCCATCAGAACACATGAAATACTTTACTCATAAAATAAAGAAGAACAGAAATCATAGCTGAAGTTAAAGAAGTTAGAGATAAAATGTGTTGTAGGATATTTATCTTACTGTATTCATGTTGTTCAGTAATTAAGGAATAATAATTCACTTCAACTTAATATAGCCTTCCAATATCTTCCCTGGTTCATGCATAAAGATATGTAACCAGCAACAATTAAATAAGGAGACTAAGGATCTTTTGGCCAAGCAAAATGAAACTTTTAGTAAAGACTAAGACAGGCTACCTGATTTACAATTAATATTGAAAATGGACACCAATCGATTCTTCTGGTTCTATTTATGGAGATGAATAGCCATTCATTCTTAAGATAAGTAGGCAGAGGTATGTCTGAAAGATGGTAGAAAAATTCACAACACAACCCAGGACTGGCTTCAAAATTATTGCAGAAAAATCTGCCATTGAAAAGTTTATTGGGGGAGAAGCCCTCTTTTAGGATAAAGTGTTTCCCTAAGGATGTTAATTGATACAATCAAGTTTATAAAAACACACTAATTGCATTAATATCATCTTACAATGGAAGGATGTCCTTATAAGCCCTGCTCTGCAGAGCGGTTAGGAGCCTGCAGCAGGGCAGGGAGAACTCCTGGTACTCACCCTGGCATCATATTCAAGGACGAAAGGAGGAAAGTCGATCTGTTCTGGCGAGATGGCAGAAAACAGCTGGTGGAGGCTGTCCACATGGTGGACTTTGTCCTTCAGTCCTGAGACAGAAAAGGTGGTAAAAAACCATGTTGATACCTGATTAATAGAAGAGAAAATAATTTAAGCCAGTGGCCAGAACTCAGAAATACAAACATGAGTTTGAGAATTTATAACAGATAAAAACTGTATTTCAAAATTGAAACTGAGCTCAGAAGCATCTCGTAATAAGCAGTGTTTTTCAAAATGCAGGGTGCTGTCCGTCAGTGACGGTGTGATTCGTTTTAGATGATCATGACCAGCATTTAAAGAGACGCACTAGTGTGCCGACTACTCGGCACTGCAGTAAAGAGCTGTGTCCCACGAAGCTTGGTTTCCATTGTGTCGCTATGCTCCTATGCGAGTAGTATATTGTGACACAAGTGCGTCTACAATTATAAAAATAAACTGTTCTTCACTCTGAGACTCAGTTTCTTAATCCATAAAATTGAGCAGGTTAGCTCTCAATACTTTTAAATGATTCTTAAGTACACAGGTCTATGAAAGGACTCTTGAATGTGCTGCACCGTAGAGACAGGGGGGTGGGTGGAAAATTCAAAGAGAAGATTGGGTCGGGGAAGAATCCTACAATCTCTGAAAGAAGTTTTTCTCCCATTTCCTCCTTCACATCCTTCAGGTATTAGCAAGAGAAAATGACTCAAAGTAGACCGAAGCGGAAACCCAGTTAAAAGTTTTCTGTTCAGGGAGACTCAAGAACACTGTCTTCACTTTTTCCATTTTAGTTTTAGAGAGCTTGGTTTATTTACAAGTTATAAATACACGTTTAGTTGGGTAAATTGAATTCCTTAGTATCTACTATTTTAAGAAACTGAAGAAAACTAAAAATGTGAAAAGGACTGCTGGGTTCGTTTGTGAATGCTAGAGATTATTTCATCCAGTTCTTTACAGACATAAAACCAAGAACACAGGACCCCAAACAATATAAACCAGGAAAAGATGGTTCACTCAAGTAATGGTAACCCACTGGAGCCAGAATCAAGGATGGTTTAAATCCCATTAGCTTGCTTTCTATTAGTAAGTTTCAAAGGAGAAAAAGAGCAGTGATTTATATGTGCAGTCAATTACCACTCTGGGTGGGGTGGCCTGGAAAAAAATCTGAGGAGTATGGAAATCAGAACAGCGTGATTCGATTGCTTTATTACCCCTTGATTTCATCTCATTATATTTTAATGAGAAACACTCCATTGATAGTTTTTGACTTAGCCTCAAACAAGAGTGGATTTCATTATACGTGGGTTTGATTCTCTCACTCCCTCATTTTCCCAAAATATTACTGAGAGGCAACAGGATGGCTGTCACTGTACAGACCTGGTCCTCAGCCTCTGCCCACCCTGCGTTCACCCTGACTCTTAGCTGAAGCCATTCCAATGTTTGGATGAGAAACTCAACAAGAATTCTGTAAACCATGAGAAATCCCAAAGTGGAAAACATCCCTCACTGAAGTCTTCACTCATCTCTTAATTATGAAATACACAAGGACTTTTCACTACTCCTCTTACTAAATTTCTCCACAATGTTCTAAAATAAAGACTATTTCTACCATCTTTGATGCTTTTCCCATCCACTGGCTCCCACAGCATTAGTCCAATCTTGGTTTCCTTGTTGATTTTTAGATTTATTTCCCAGTCTCCTTCCCCCATGCTAGGGCTCTGTCTGCAGTTGTCCTCTTTGCTCTAAGCCTCTCTGTGATTTTATTCATGAACATTTAGGGCTAAAGCTCAGTTTACTTGATATTGACTCTCAAAAATATTTCCCAATCCATGATCCTATATCTGATGCCACCTGGGAGTCATGGATGCCACTTTCCTCTCACTCCTACTAATCTAATTAATCACTAAATCCTGGGTTTTTATTCCCCTGGGTTTAGACACTGATATAGTCTTTCTTTTTGCCTAAGACCAGGTCTTGGCAAACTTTTGCAGAGGAACCTATAGTAAATATTCTAGAATATTAGTTTGATAAGAAAACTTCACTAGTCAGGCCTGAAGACACAGGCATGGATTTGGACAACAGTAAGCACACAGAACTGATGTAATGTGGTGAGAGGTGAGGTAGGGAAAGTACCCAAGGATGCCTCCCTGGTTTCTGGCTCAGGTACCTTGGCAGGCAGTGGTCCCATTTACTATGATAGGGAATATAAAAAGCAGTTTAGGAGGGAAGGAGGGAGGCAGGAGGACATGCTGAACTTCAGAGGCCTGTGGGACATCTAAGTGAAGATACCTAGTCAGTATTTCAACATGCAGGTCTAAGTACAGGAATGGTGAGGATAGCTAACATTTGCTGAGTGTTCAATCTGGGTCAGTGAATGTTTTAAGCATTTTACATGTATTACCTTCATCCTTCCAACACCCTAACAAGGTAGGTACTATTATCGCTCCCATCTTATAGAAGGTGAAATGAAAGCACAACTTGCCTGGGATGAGAAGCTGGTAATCGGTAGAGCTGGCATTAGAACCTACATTATTACCTCAACCTAAACCCTTGCTTTTAAACATTGGGCTTTACTGCATCTCCAAGACCTTTATTTGGGAATTGCATATATTCTAGGGTTGTTGAAGACACAGAAAGGAAAGAAGGTACAGAATGAAAGAAAAGGGCAGAGCATTTTAACACTCAAAGGAGGAGCAGAGAAAGAGGAGGGCAGAGGAACCTGAGCAGGAGTAGCTAGAAGGAGGAGGAAAACGAGGCTCGGTAGGTTTCAAAGAAGCCAGACAAAGTGTTTGGAGGAAGAAGTGGTCAACTGTGTCTAAGGCTACGGGGAAACAGGTTACACAAAGACAGGAAAGTGTCTACTGGGTTTAGTAACAGAGATGACCAGTGATTTCGGTGTGAGCAGCCACAGTGGAATTTCGAACCAGACGGAGTAATTTAAGATGTATGAAAAATGAAAATGGTGAGCATAGAACATAGATTACACTAAAAATTTGGTTGTAAAGAAGAAGAGCGATAACTGGAGACTTTAGAGTGTTTAAAAATTGATGAGTTAGATCCAGAAAAATGGGAAAGAGGAGAATTACTGGAGAGAGCTTCCCGAGGAGATGGGAATGTATTGTGTAGTTAGGAATGCAGGCCCTGGAATTAAAATGCCTAGATTCAAATCCTGCCTTTGCTACCTATTAGTTGCTTACCTTGGACAAGCAATTTAGTGTCTCTAAGCATCAATTTCCTTGTCTGTAAAGTGGGAAGATGACTACCACCTGCTGCAGAGATATATTATTATAAGGCTTACACAAGATGATTCACAGGAAGAACTGGCGGATAGTAAGTGATTAGACAACGTTAGCTATTGTTATTACCATGGGATCCAGAGACTGCCCTTCATTAAGAAACACTTTTGTGACAGAACAAGGAGGTAATGAAAGGACTAGATGGCAGTTGGTTTGGGGTGCGAGGGAGAAGATAGGGAGCTCCTTACTGAGGTTTCTATGATCTTAAGACCAAGGCAAAGCATCTGCTGGAGTGAGCACTGCTGGTAGGTCGGGGCTTGAGGAGAGCAGACAGCCACACTGGGTCACTGTCAAGTGAACTATCAAAGGGCCTCTAGCAGATCAAGCCCCAAGTCTGACCAGCAGCCCAAATCCCCTGGCTCTGCCGATTTCTCCATCAGTGCTCGGCAACCCAGATACGGGAGTGATGAAAGCAGAATGATGTACTATCTCAAAATTAATGGGCAAGTGTGATGAAAGGGTGAGAGGTTATAGGTTAGTTAGGCACTGACAAAAGTGGCTGAAGTGATGGAACATGGGTGTTAGACTGGATGGGGGAGAAGGCGGGGGGGGGGGGGGGGCGAAATCAGGACAAAAAAGAGATGACATTTTCAGTAAAAGGGCCAAAGGACTAGATGTCTTGATGAAGTCAAGATGTAGGATCACATATTAGGGATAGAGCTGTGAGCCAGATGGCTAGATTCTAACTCTCATCATCTTGGAGGCTAACATACAAGGCAGAAAATAAAACATGTGATTTGAATTAAAAACATAACAATGATAGAAGACTATAAAATCTTAAGGGGGTACCATGCAGGAGTACCCACTACGTACAGGACTGGTCAGGGAAGGCTTTCTATGCAAAGTAATTGTTGAGCTGAGACCTGGAGGACATATAAGTTAGCCATGAGCAGAGGAAGGAAAGTGAATTCTGTACCAACAACATGAGCAACGTCCGGATGAACAAAGAGCAAGAAGAAGAAAAGATGGAGAAGTCATGGCTTGTGAGGATTGTCTACAAAGATACTAGAATTAAATGAGACCAACATCAGGACCACAGCTCAAGATCACTTAACAAGGAAGGGTAAACAAAGAAATTAGCAGTCACAGTGTGACAGCAAGAATTAGGATGTTGATATATATATGTCTTAATATGCTAGCATGCAGTGCATTTAAATTCATGATTTAGCTAAAAGGAAAAATACTGTACCTTTGAACGAAATGTTGGATGAACAAAATAAACAGCCTTCAAATTCCTCTTATACCTGATTTAAAATAAAAAAAGGGTCAGTATAAGTCATGCCCCAAACCACTCACCATTATGGACAATTAACTCTTTGCCTGAGTATATATATTCATTCACAGAGGGGGGAAAAAGTTTTTAGACAGCTCTGGTTTACGTATTAAATTTTAGGTGAAATGTCAAAAACAATTTAGAGAACATTTTATTATTTAAAGTGTCCGTTTTATAGGAGATACTATGTTTTTCTAGGCTGTAACAGCCCTCTATAGGTAGGACAAAGGAAATTCATATTTAACAAGCATTTATTTAATGCCATTTTTCATATGAACCTAAAATCTCTGGGATCGGGTTATTATAAACAACAGTAAAACCACTTAAAATTATAGTAAAAATAGAAGCTAAAGTTTCAATGATCATATTACAACAATAGTTACAGGAAGTTGACTGTGTCCCAGAAATTGTACAAAGGCTTTATACTTAATCCTCATAGCAAGTCTATGAAGTGACACTGTTTCTATTTTAATTTTCCAAAAGTTACGAGCCATCAACTGGTAGAGCCAGAAGTTGAACCCAGGCAGTATGGCTCCAGAATCATGCTCTTATCCACTACTCTATCTAGCCTCCCCAGGCGTGCCTGAAATCATTTCAACAGCTTGTTAATCACCATTGGGTCGCATAAGGTTAACTGGAGAAGACTTCAGAGAAATAGTACAAACTCTTCATTTCACAGTTGAGGCCTGTTCAAAGTTAAAGAGTTGGTTAGAGGTAGAGGCAGAATTATCGTGGAGTGACGCTTCCTTATAAAACCCACATTCAGAGCAAGCTAATGAAGTGTGTGTGAGGTAATGACAACTTTAATATTGCGGATTAAGATGAGATTTAAGGGGCGGAGTAAGACAGTTGGAACTTAGGGTAATCTGTCTTCTTTGTACACTAATTGCAATATAGATTTTTCAATGCAATCCACAAAGACTTTGTGACGCTACCGTAATAAAACAACTACCAGGAAGGTGGATTGCATTTTTATTTAGGAAATCTATTAGTGAGAAAAAAATTTAAAGCAGAACATTTTATCTTTGCTGTAGTGGGGTGTCTATATATTCTGGTTAAAATGTCTATTATCATTTTAAGGGAAATATAGTGTAATGAAACTAATTTTCTGGCTCCGAGTCAGTAGCCCAGGTTCAAGTCCAAATTCTGCATTTAATGTTAGGAGACCTTGAGCAATGTCCTTCATCTTTCAGAATGTCCATATTTTCCCATCTTTCAAATGTAGATTTGAAATATATCTATATTTATCTAGCTAGAGGAAAGACAAAGTAAATTCATACTTAACAAAATTATGATAAGCTTTTTTTTTATATGATGCTAGAATCTCTGGGATTAGATTATGAATTAATAAACTCATGGGTCACTAGATCAAATAAAACAAAGTTTATAAATATATTTTGATTAAGTGTAACACCTTATAAATAGAAGGTAGCATTTTTAATTATTTTATATACAAAGGTTGGTCATGACCCCAAACCTTTTCTAAGGTGTTTGAAAAGCAGGCTCAAGTTTACATATGAATTTACTGAAATGTGTTAAGTTGGAGTTAAGGAGCGCCTACAACTATTAAAATATCTGAACTATGAATGATAAAAACCTTTGTATGTGAAATACACTTTCACAGAATACACAGTAATATTTGCTTCAATTAGGAAAGAAAGAAGCTCTTTCCCGCTTCATAATTTGCAAAAAATAACTAACTTGACATCCACGACATCGTAGAGTTTCTTCAGGAAGTCAGAGTCCAGGTGATTGTATTCGCTTGTCAGTGTGTGAAAATACACTAATACGTATTCCTTCACAGCGATGTGGTCCATTACATGGATAAAGTATAAAAGGGCCTAGAAGATAATGAGGAGCAAAGGTAAAGATCGTTTTTGCACAGTCATCTATTTCACAGAGAGAGGAAAAATCCAGATTAAGCTGCTCTATGCCCAGGCACCGCAGATGGACATTTCACTCTGGTGAGCATCAGTTCTCGTTAGAAGGATCTACAGGAGAGTGAATCATGCCACCGCTCAATCATTCTCATGAACGCTACAGTACGATCCCTTTCTCTCGTCCTAAGGGATGAATGAGAAGAACGAGTTTCTATTCTAGTAACTCTTCCTGTTACTCAAAGAGTTCTTTGGTCAACTACCAGGTTTTTCCTCTGTAGAATAATGACATCAAAATCATTAGCAGTAGAATTTCTAGACTTTCAATCATTCTTGAAGTGTCTGCTTAAATTCAATGAAAAGTCTTTGCAGTCTCTACCGACATAGAGGCTCATGCCTCTCTTATAATTGAGAATTACTGAGAGAGGATATTGTAAGTGACGCCTCACATGGTTCACTTTGAGGGCTAATTTTCTTAGCACCTTTACTGTTGACCTGAATGATAAAAATGAGAACAGGTTGAGCCAGTAGATGGCCGTGGGCTGGGCAGCTTTTCTAGAGCTCTGAAAGACTCAAATGTAATGTAACCCAGATCGGTTAGAGAAATATTCCATTACAAGAAAGATAAAATTTAAGAGAAACAAACACAAAGCAGACATACAATATGGGCAGGGCCAGTATGACCCAGTGGTGTAGCTATAAACTATGGCAAGGAGGAGGCTAAGAGGTAACAACTGAAAGATTGTTATCAAACAGGCTGTTTCCCAGTTCCTCCTCAGGGAGTCCTTGGCATTCCCATGACCGGATTAACATGGATTAGGATCCAACTGCTACCAGTTGTTACCTGGTTTAACCTTATAACACATCTCAGTATTTTATATGAAATGACACATGAATATCTAGACCATCAGGGAAGTGCACACTGACATCAATGCAGGATCTATGTTTTTATTGGCATCAATTACACTATAAGAATGAGTGTTACACAAATTGAGAGTTCTCTCTCTCTCTCTCTCTCTCTCTCTCTCTATCTTGATCTCTCTCTCTCCATTCCCCTTCCTCACCTCTATTCTCTCTCTCTAAAATCAATAAAAATATAAATTTAAAAAGAAAGAAAAGAATGACAGACTTTATTAGTACAATGATATTACAGAAAGATTCCAATAAAAAATTTGCCCGTTACATGATATCCAAACAAAGCAGATGGGTTTTTGGAGATCACACTATGACATCCCAGTATTTCTGTTTCTCCCACAGAGCAAAACCAAACCCCTAACTTACTGAAATGACACATGCAGATTTGCAGAACCCCAGGGCTGCCACTCCACCAGAAATATACAATCATCTCACATTCTAAACCCTGATTCCAAATTCACATCCTTCTTTTTAAATCAACATTATTTGTAAAACAGCCTTTCCATGGCTTACCTTGTCCATATCTATTAGTGTTACTGGAATGTTTCTTCCAACCACCACCATCACTGTGCGACCGCAGTTATCCACACCTATAAACAGGAAATGTAAACAGTACCCAGAAACTTTATTCCAGAAGGATTTGTCCTGGGCACCAACCTTATAAAAATAGTCCACACATATGTGAAAGACTGAAAGCCAGGAACATAAGTTTTTCAAATTCCATCTTCAGATTTCTTAGAAAACACTTTTTAGTTTACCTTTAGGAGGTTTTGATGAGTGCCCTTATTACTTTTAAGATAAGGCCTCTTATGGGTTTTAAATCAAGGGCAGTCAAAGCTAAGGTTGCAGGCAAAGATCTTTTCATATATAGCTTTTTGTTTAAACTTACAACTTTTAAAAACATTGGTAATCTGGGAAAACTAAATGGAACTCAAGTATCGTCTGAAAAAAATACAATGGAGAAAGAATTTGAGTCTCAGAACTTTCTCTGTCTCCATTATACTATATTTATATAAGGTTTGAATTTTGTATAGCCAAGTATATGGTACTTTTAAAAGCAGAAAAAAATGTAATAAGAAAAGGACATTAAGAAGAAATGAAATTGGCTGATGTACAACTACCAGTTGAAATTTTCATAGGTTCCATCTTCATTAGTACAAAAACACTTTATTCATAGAAAACGGACACCAGTAGAGAAAAATGAAGTCTCAAACAGCATGCCAGGTAGGGTCCTTAATTAGTAATAGAATAAGTTGCCATATCCACAAGCTCACCTGTTTGGTATAAGGCTTTCAGAGAAGCAATATCCGATAGGTCCTCAGATCTTGCTTGACATAACCAGCGATTATAACTAGAGAAATAAAAGATATAATCATTATAATAAACCCTTGTAAATTAAATTCAACAGTTGGGACCTGTTTTTATCTTGCCCTGTTTTATTATAATGAGGAAGAAGTTAGAGTTGCCATTATACTATGCAGAATCTCTACTGTGTATTATTGATAAAATAAGCACAAACGAGTTACTCAGAAAAGGTGTCCATACATATTTAAGAAACCCTTTATGATCAAATGAAGAATACTCGTATTATTGGCTCAGATACCAAGTCTCAAACTAACACTGTTTTTAAATACTATTACTCTCCTTTGCAAAAAAATAAAAATAAAAGCAAAGAGAAAGCCTAAAGCAATAGCAGTTCTACAAAATAGATGTTCATTCATTCAACAAAGATTTGCTCTATGATAGGGGTTGAGAATACTATAGTGAAAAGACACTGTCAGTGCCCTACAGGAGTTTACTTTGCAGAAGAAAAACGGGTGTGTTGCACATGTTATGTTATGTGGGACCACAAAGGAACTAGGTAAGTTTATCTGTGAAGTCCTGGCTTCTTTAATGATTGGTTAGTCACAGTAGTTGTACTATACCCCCTATACCAGATCACGGGGACCACAGTTTGGCATTGGCTAAGAGGATATTCAAAGAAAACTGTTTGCCAGATGATTCTTACACATGGCCTAGAAATCACTGAAACTATCATCTGATTGGAAAGGCTGTTTATTGGTGACCCCTAGTGGCTACTGTGCTTTTGTTTATATAAATGAAATCATAATAAAGTGAAGACCAGGAACTCAGGAGACGCGAAATTCTAACTCTAAGGGACTCCAGAGATCACCTAGTCCAGTGGTCGGCAAACCGCGGCTCGCGGGCCACATGTGGCTCTTTGGCCCCTTGAGTGTGGCTCTTCCACAAAATACCACATGTGGGCGCGCACGTACAGTGCGATTGAAACTTCGTGGCTCATGCCAGAAGTCAGTTTTCGGAAAGGAGATAGACGAAACAAGTATACAAGACGAGTGTGGATGGGAGAGTTGGAAGGGGTCGACCTCAGCGAACGTACCTCAATCAGATTGAGGACGTTTTTAGCAAAGGCCAGCTTAGGAGTACCCTAATTAAGTTAATAACAATGTAACTACCTATTTAAAGTTAAAAAAATTTGGCTCTCAAAAGAAATTTCAATTGTTGTACTGTTGATATTTGGCTCTGTTGACTAATGAGTTTGCCGACCACTGACCTAGTCCAACTCCCACTTTACAGATGGAGAATGACAACCACCACACATCATTAACTATAGTGGATAAATGCTATGCTAAGCTTTAGAGTCTAAAAAAGCATATAGGAGGCAGCATCTGCTCCAGACTCTATTCCAACTTATCTCCAGCGAGGTATGTTTCCAGAAACCGTCCCTTCTGGGCTGACACCTGAAGAATGGGCAGGAATTGAAGGATGAGAGTATTCCAGTCCAAAGGGATGCCAAGTAGCAAAGCGCAAAGGTAAACTAGACCACGATTTGCTCAGTACTGAAGAGAATAGCAGTGACCAGTTTTAAGAGCCTGCTAAGTATCAGGTGCGGTGCTAAGCTCATGACATTATCTTATTTAATGTTTACAACCATATGAGCTGTCATCCCCTCAGCCAGCCCTATAAGGTAATGGATGATATTAACCATGTATAGCTTATGACTTTTTTCTTTCCTTTAACTTTTTTTTGAAAAGCAGCTAGCTTTCCAAGAACTATCAATCCTTGGAAAAGCTTACCCAGAAGTACAAAAGCTACTTTTCTTTGTTTCAAAGAGGATTTATTCAGAATTGCTTTTAAAAAAAAAAAATACCTGAAAGAAATGAAATTCCTTTATAAGGTCCTGAGGATAAATCGAGGAGAAATAAAGCTCTTCTAAATGCAATAAAACTGTAGATTATGGCCGAAGCCGGTTTGGCTCAGTGGATAGAGCGTCGGCCTGCGGACTGGAGGGTCCCGGGTTCGGTTCCGGTCAAGGGCATGTGCCTTGGTTGCGGGCACATCCACAGTGGGAGATGTGCAGGAGGCAGCTGATCGATGTTTCTCTCTCATCGATGTTTCTAACTCTCTATCTCTCTCCCTTCCTCTCTGTAAAAAGTCAATAAAATATATTAAAAAAAATAAAATAAATAAAATAAAACTGTAGATTATGTTTTAATTATAAACAGTCAAGCCAGGTAAAACCTTTGTAAGCCTGCCATTCCCGTTCCCTAGTTTCCACTTTTACAACAGAACCTCACCCAGAAGTACCACAATTATCGCAGAAAGAGCAGGAACTCTGAAATCAGACATGCATCTCAACACTGGCTTCAACACATGCTAACTGTGGCCCCCGATAAATTAACTTTGAATTTCTGTACCACAAGACGGGGACAATATTATCCTCACGGGACTGCCATGAGGAATAAAGTGGGAAGCATACACATGGATCAGTTAGCAGATGGAAGGCCCTTTCTTCCTTCCCAGGTCCTTACGTGTCTTTCAGGCCAGAGGGTTTCCCTTACTTTCTCTGATGCTGCTTCTGTAGGGCTGCCTCTGACAACTGTCCCTGAAGGATCAGTCTTCTCTGCTTATCAATATCTCCTTCCATTCGGGCAAAAGCATGAGAGCCAATGAAAGAGAGGTCAGCTCCCAAGCCTTCTTCCTCCTCTTCTTGGTCGTCTGTAACAAAAACACCAGCAATAGAGAGCTGAGGACAAAACTTGACTGTAAATGCTACAAACAGATTGTGAATGCCCAACAGGGATGACTATGAGCTAGCTCAAAAGAACAGAATTAAGGTTATATTTTGAGAATGAAAATGAAATCCGATTTAGGCATCTGAAGAATTGAAATAATGAAGGAAAGCAACAAATGTTTGGGGTCATTTATCCAGAGCCGTTTAAGGAGGGAGCACCTAATCGGCCGGCACATAAACCTCAGACCTTTGGTCAGGGCACCAAGGAAGGAAGATGTTAGGTATGGTTTTAGAAGACCTTGTTGAAGCTGTTGAACATTTTAGATGATAATGTACAGGACTACTGTCTCAACAGTGTCCTGTATCAACTTCATGAGGGCAAGAATGTTGTTATATTCACCTCTGAATTTCTATTGCCTAACACAGACCTGACATAGACATGTATTTAAAATTTTTATTTAAAGAGTAAATCTTAACAAGAATAAGACTCTAAAAACCTCTAAGTTGGTCTTGATCTCAGTCACACTAACCGACACATACTCCCCACTTCTGTGATCAATCCCTTCCCTTCCTTAAGAGGGAGATGAGAAAGGTAGAACTCACCTTCCGGGGCACCAGGTTTCTCACTTATTCGAATCTGCCGTTCAGGTACCACAGGCTCCCCTTCTGCATTTCCAATATCTGCAGGCAGGTACGGCAATGACCGACCCTCCTCCTTTAACGACCTTGGGAAGTACAGAGGGAGCAGCTTTTGGTAAGTAGCCTGTGTCGGAAAAGCAAGACATTCTGTGACAAATCACGAAGTAATGAAGCAGGCACCTCAGTGCTTAGTGCTGCTCAGATGCTGTGAAGAGAGCCTCCATCAGGGAGGAAGACCTCCCCTGCTCTAAGCTCAGAGCAGATGCTGTCTGGGACCTCCTTCAGTTTTGTGTTAAAGATCAGGACATCATTAGCTAGTTAAACATGGCTCCCATTCGGGCAATTCCCGGCGACTGGGACCTGGAATGCGCAGGTCCTGCCACTCCTGTCTCCTCCCCACCCTTCACCTTACTAACGACATGTCTTTCAAGATTCGCTCTGATGCTCCTCCACAATGCTCAGTGAGCCATCAAGGTCCACTGACCCGGTTTAATTTTTGAGTATTCTTTTTAATACTCATTATGGAGAATTGCTATTTCAAGACCTTTATTCTTCATTAGAGGTTTCCCAAAGAACAAAGGAAAAATCTTTTTTAAAAATGATAATGAAACTCATTCTATTTTATAATTTCCATATGAGTTGGTTCATTTGACTCATTTATAATCCATGATACATCATAGGCATTTAGTGCCTCTATTTTTCCTGTATCTTTTTCATCATCCTAGAAATTATTTATCATACCCATTAATATCCCTGATACTAAAAAAAAACC